TCGAATAAGTCAACTGGCAACAGCCATCAACCGCTTGGAGTCCCACGTTTATGGGAAACTACCATCGCAACCCGAGGTGAATCCCAGGAATGTAAGCGCCATGACGCTGAGGAGTGGCAAGGAACTGGAAGGGCCTAAAGTGGAAAGTTCAAAAAGCAAAAATGAAGAGGAGATAGAGAAGGAAATTGAAGAGGAAGGGCGTATTCGCAAGGATCCTAAGGTAACCTTCACTTCTCCGCCCACTATTAAATCTAACTTACCTCCTTTTCCTTGCAGGCTGGAGAAGACAAAAAAGGTAGAGAAGGAAAAAGAGCTTTTGGATGTATTCCGAAAGGTGGAAATTAACATCCCTTTACTGGATGCAATCAAGCAGATACCTAAATATGCTAAATTTCTCAAGGATCTGTGCACCCATAAGAGGAAACTGAGAGGGGACGAGAGAGTAGCGGTGGGAGAGAATGTGTCAGCAATGCTCCAAAGGAAGCTCCCCCCCAAGTGTGGAGATCCAGGTATGTTCACGATCCCCTGTAAGATAGGGAATACACCGATTAGGAAAGCAATGTTAGATTTAGGGGCGTCAATCAATGTGATGCCCAAGACTATTTTTGCTTCTCTAAATCTTGGGCCACTTAAAGAAACAGCCATCATAATCCAACTAGCTGACCGCACAAATGCATATCCAGAGGGGCTAGTTGAGGATGTCTTGGTTCAGGTAAATGAATTGGTTTTTCCTGCAGATTTTTATATCTTGGACATGGGAGATGAGAAATCATTAAGCCCACCACCTATCTTGTTAGGTAGACCATTTCTTAGCACTGCCAGGACTAAGATAGATGTGAATGAGGGTACTTTGTCAATGGAATTTGATGGTGAAACTGTGAATTTCAATATTTTTGAGGCGATGAAGTACCCAGAAGAATCTAACTCGGTCTTTGCTTTGAGTGTTATTGAGCCTTTTGTGCAGGAAATTTTCGAATTAGATGGCGAAGACGCTTTGGAAGTGGCTCTGGCCAAGCACTTGGAGTTGGGTGTAACTCATAATGTGGACCTAAGGGGAGATTTGCTCCATGCTGTGGAAGCCTTACACTCACTTCCACCCATATCCCCAAGGTATGAGCTTACTTCTCTTTTTGTGCCAGAGACTCAAACGAAACTGCTTCCTTCAGTTGTGCAGGCACCAGATTTAGAATTAAAGCCTCTGCCAAAGCATCTTAAGTACGCATTCTTAGGAGATCGGGAGACACTGCCGGTAATCATCTCTGCGCACCTGTCTCCAAGTCAAGAAGACAAACTAGTGCGGGTCCTGAGGGAGCATAAGGAGGCAATTGGGTGGAGTATAGCAGATATCAAGGGAATAAGTCCATCCTTATGTATGCACCGAATTCGACTCGAGGAAGATGCGAAGCCGGTAAGACAGGCTCAAAGGAGGTTGAACCCCCTGATGATGGAAGTTGTGAAAAAGGAGATACTAAAGCTTCTAGAGGTGGGGATCATTTTTGCTATCTCGGATAGCCCATGGGTGAGTCCTGTCCAGGTAGTCCCGAAAAAGGCGGGAGTGACCGTTGAGGAGAACCAGGAGGGTGATATGGTCCCGGTCAGGAAAGCAACTGGCTGGCGCCAGTGCATCGACTACAGGAAGCTAAATGCCGTGACTAAAAAGGACCATTTCCCCCTCCCCTTTATTGATCAGATGGTAGAACGATTGGCAGGTCGTGTTTACTATTGTTTCTTGGATGGTTTTTCAGGTTACTTTCAGATCGCGATTGCACCAGAAGACCAGGAGAAGACCACCTTCACATGCCCATTTGGCACGTTTGCCTACCGCCGGATGCCTTTCGGACTCTGCAATGCTCCAGCGACCTTTCAAAGGTGCATGGTAAGTATTTTCTCCGAGTATGTAGAGAAAATAATTGAGGTATTCATGGATGATTTCAGTGTGTACGGGGACAGTTTTGATGAATGCTTGAAAAATCTGGCTTTAATTCTGAAAAGATGTATAGAGACGAATTTGGTACTTAATTGGGAAAAGTGTCACTTTATGGTAGATCATGGCATTGTCTTAGGACACGTTGTGTCGGCTAAGGGCATAGAGGTAGATAAAGCTAAGATAGACCTTATTTCTGCTCTACCTTACCCCGTATGTGTACGGGAAGTGCGTTCGTTTTTGGGTCATGCAGGTTTTTACAGGAGATTTATCAAAGACTTTTCGAAGATCGGAGCACCCCTGTTCAAACTACTGCAGAAGACGTGCCGTTTGATTTCACAAGTGAATGTAAGGTGGCGTTTGATAAATTGAAGGAGTCACTGACATCGCCGCCTGTCATTCAACCGCCAGATTGGAGCCTTCCGTTTGAAATCATGTGCGACGCGAGTGACTATGCCGTGGGGGCTGTGTTGGGACAAAGAATTGGGAGAGCGGCACACGCGATCTACTACGCATCGAGAGCCTTAAGTGGAGCCCAACTTAATTACTCCACGACGGAGAAGGAATTACTAGCTGTTGTTTTTGCACTAGAGAAATTTAGGTCATATTTATTGGGTGCAAAAGTAATTGTTTTCTCTGACCATGCAGCCTTGAGGTACCTGTTGGCGAAAAAGGATGCCAAACCGCGGCTCATTAGATGGATCCTGCTCCTGCAGGAGTTCGACTTAGAAATTAAGGATAAGAGTGGAGCCGAGAATTTGGTGGCTGACCATTTGAGCCGGTTGCTCACGAATCAAGAAGATCTACCGTTGAGGGAGTCATTCCCTGAGGAGCAACTCCTGGCCATTGATTCGTCGGCACCATGGTATGCCGATATTGTAAATTTCTTGGTAGCAAGTCAATTACCTACAGGTTGGTCAAAAGCTAGAAGGGATAAGCTAAAGAGTGATGCCAAACATTACCTTTGGGATGACCCATACCTATGGAGGCAATGTTCAGACCAGGTGATAAGAAGGTGTGTAAGTGCAGGTGAGTTTCACTCTATTTTAGCTTTCTGCCATTCATTTGCATGTGGTGGGCATTTTGGTCCAAAGCGGACGGCTCGTAAAGTGTTAGAAAGTGGTTTTTATTGGCCTACTCTGTTTAAGGATGCATATCTGTTTTGCAAATCTTGTGATAAGTGTCAAAGGGTGGGGAATATTTCTCGAAGAGACCAAATGAGTCAAACCCCCATATTATTTGTTGAGATTTTTGATGTCTGGGGTATAGATTTCATGGGTCCATTCCCCTCGTCCTTTGGTTTCTTGTACATTATACTTGCTGTTGACTATGTTTCCAAATGGGTGGAGGCAAAAGCCACCCGGACTAATGATTCTAGAGTGGTTGCAGATTTTATAAGATCTAACATTTTCGTCCGTTTTGGAATGCCAAGAGCTATAGTGAGTGACAGGGGCACCCATTTCTGTAATAAGACGATCACTGCTTTGTTTCGTAAGTATGGTGTGCTCCACAAAGTTTCCACTCCCTACCATCCCCAAACGAATGGTCAAGCCGAAGTATCAAACAGGGAAGTTAAGTCGATCCTGGAGAAGATGGTGAGGCCTGATCGGAAGGATTGGAGTGTGAAATTGGAAGATGCTCTCTGGGCCTACCGCACTGCGTATAAGACGCCGATTGGGATGTCCCCATACAGGTTAGTTTTTGGTAAGCCTTGCCACCTCCCGGTGGAATATGAACACAAAGCATTTTGGGCACTTAAGCGGTGTAACATGGATCTCATGGAGGCTGGAGGACACAGAAAGCTCCAATTACAAGAGTTGGAAGAGCTAAGGAATGAAGCCTATGAGAATTCCGTAATTTATAAGGAGAAAAGCAAAGTTTTCCATGATCAACAAGTTTCGAGAAAGTCGTTTGTCGTAGGGCAAAAAGTCTTACTTTATCATTCAAGACTTAAGCTTTTTCTTGGTAAGTTGCGCTCCCGTTGGATTGGTCCATTTATTGTTACTAATATTTCTCATTATGGTGCAGTGGAAATACAAAGTCTTAAGACGGAGAAAAGATTCGTAGTCAATGGTCACCGTCTAAAACCTTATTACGAAGGGTTTAATAATGAGCAAATGGAGGTTTTATTCCTTGATGATCCAAGAGGAGAGATTTAAACAATTGAAGGCCATGTCTAGCCAAAGACGTTAAAGAAAGGCGCTGATTGGGAGGCAACCCAAGGATTACAATATTAGTTGTGATCATTTTTACTTACTCTGCGATTTTTCAGTTTTATCTTAATGTTTTGACTGTTTTTGTGGTGTTGGACAGAGGAGTAGAGGTTCCAAGGCGTGCCCACGCCTTGATGGAAATTCGTTTGGAAATCATTTAGATGCTCTGGGCAGAGGACCATGCCTTCCAAGGCGTGCCCACGCCTTCCAACCCTTCCGATAACGAAAGTCAAAGAAGAAAGACAATTCTTGGACCGAGACCATACTTCGTCACTTTGTCTTTTCTTTGCAAAATTCTGCCCAGTGCCTTTGACTAAGTTCTCTCACGCTGAAAATTTCCTTTGTCCTCTTCTTTGTCTTTGTTTTTGCCTTTGTCTTCTTTGTTCTCCCCTTGTGCTTGTGCGCCGCCGCCACCGCCGCCTGCGAAGCCCGCCGCCGCCGCCCGCCGTGCTGCGCGCGACCCAGCTCCAGATCTGCACCACCAGCGCCCAGCTCCCTCTCTCGCGCGCCTGCCCAGCCTGTGCGCTCCAGATCCGCCGACCACCGCCCAGATTTGACCAGGCCAGCAGCGCAGGCGACGCAGCGCGCGACGCCCGCGCGCGCGCCCGCAGCCAGCCCTCCTCACCAGCCGCGCGCGACAGCCACCGCCCACCTGCGAGCAACCGTCCACCGCACGCCAGGCGCACCAGCGCGCGCCAGACCCCAACGCGCGCAGACTTCTAACCGCGCGCCCCAGCTAGACCAGATCTACGCGCGGCCTTTTTCCCCTCGCAGCTCAGCAGCAGCGTGCGACCAGCCCGCTGCTTATCCACAGCCGGCCGCACCCCAGCGCCCGCGCGCACCCACTCCGCCACTTTCTTCTTCAGCCGGGACAAAGGAAAAAGTGGTACCCCTACTTTTCTTGTTGAGCTGGTGACTTCGATTGGGAGTTTTAATTGCCAATTTTTGCCTCCTTTTGGGTTGCTATATTTGTTGGTATTGTCGGGGGACCAGTGGTTTGATTATCTGAAGAGAAACACCTTATATCTGCTTCCCTGTGAATATATACTTGAGATATCTGTGGGCTTTAGTGAATTTGTTATTTGGAACACGTGGTTGGTAGCCCTCTGAATGCTGCTTTTTATTGACTAATATCTTGATTTGAGGGGAGTTGGCTCGGTCTTCTTAATTGTTGTCGGCTAATTGCTAGCAGTGGGGAATTGGTTGGTGTGTGTTGTCTAGTTGTCGGTTGGTGGGGTAACTGTGTCCCTTGTTATGGTTGAGCTGCTGAGTATTTAATAATTTCGTTGACTGGTCCCATATCTGCTTTTGGTGGTTGGTTTGCTGTTTCTGATCTGATATACTTTGTCGGTGATCCCTAAATGCCTCCAAAGAAGGCGACAACTGCTGGGTCGTCTGGGTCCCAACCTCGCAAGAGGCGAGCCCCGGTTTAACCCACCTTTCGGTCTCGTCTGGGCCTGAATAAGAGCACTATGTCTCCTGGAGGAGGGGGGAAACGGTCATTAATCTTACACAGGCACAAGTGGAGCGGTTTAATAACTTGGCGAACCGTCCTTTTACTCCCTGTAGGTGCTTTCATGCCCCGACATTGGACCATTTGCGAATTGCACGGGAGGTTGAACAGCTATTCTCAGCCATAGGTTGGCAACAATATCTAATCATTAACTATCTTACGTTTGAGGAGCTGTGTTGTGAATTCTTCTCCACATTCGAGTTCAACAGAAATGAATTTATCACTTTGGATGAGCCGGAGGTCATTAATTTCAGATTGGGAGGTACTCAGTTTGGTATGTCAATTAATGAGTTTAACCTGACTTTGGGGTTTGCTAGTGAGGACACCATTGCCTCTGGGGCATATATAAACAGTGCGTGTGACTTCACCCTACCGTTCTCAGTTGACTACATTGACATTTGGATGGAGTGGTCCACGGATCGTCAAGTCTACAATCCGAGTCAGTCGAAGGCTTCCCATCTGAAGGACCCGGTCTTGAAGGTTGTCCACAGGTTCTTAGCTCACAATTTCTCGGGGCGAAAGGATACCTCCGGCACGCTTACCAAAGTGGAATTCTATTTTCTTTGGTGCATGCGCAACAAGGTTCGGGTTAACTTTGGATGTTGGGTGGCCACCCAGATGGAAACGGTCATGCAAAAGCGTAATAAGCCGGTGATACTGGGATCCCTCATTACTCACCTGGCCAGGTTTTCGCCCGCATTCAGGCGGAGAATCAAGCAGCTTACTATGCTCATATTGGCTTCCAGCCGCCGTATCCGCCGCCTCCTTAGGCTCCGGGCGCACCTTTTCATTAGTCAGGGAAGTTTTCGCTCCCTCTGCCCTTGCAATTTATTTTTCTAGGTTCCATTGAGGACAATGTAGGTTTTAGGTGTGGGGGGGGGAAGGTTTCCATTACTTTCATTTTCATTAGTTCTTTCTTTTTGTTTTAAAAAAAAAAAAAAGACAGAAGAAATGGAAAAAATGAAAAAACATTGTATTTAGTCGCTCTTTTGGTTATTTTTTATGCTTGTTAGTGTTGGGGCATATTGCTGTGATGAATGACATAATCAAAGTGAGTGGGTATGTGGTCGTATATGCTAGCCGTGCATTCTGTTTCCCTTGGCAATGTCATCGAATGTTGAGTATACTGGAATTCACCCATTTTTGTAACTCTTGGGGAGCTTTTGAGCCTTACGTGAGCATTTTATTCTTGTTCGCTCTATTTTGTTTGATTAAGTGGGTATCGCACATGGTATGAACATTCTAGAACTTGCTATTTTGTACATGTCAAGATCGCATTTTGATGAACTGAGTGCATTTGAAATGATAAGGGCATTTAGGATTCAACCCTCTTCCGCTATCTAAAAAATCAAACCCTCATTTTATACCCCAATAGTGAACCAACTTGAGCTTCTGTCCTTCGTTTCTGGTTGATATCCGTGTTTGTTAACCCAAGACCCCTTTAAACTTTCTCGTTTATCTATGTGTTGTCAAGGGATGTCTGAAATCCATCAGTTGTGCAAAGCAAACGAATTTGGGGTTGAAAGTGCTGATAGATTAGGAGCTATATGATGCTATCTTTGTGTAAAGGAAGGGAAATTGGAAAAAAGGGCACTGACCAGAGGACTTTGGCTTACAAGGCGTGCCCACGCCTTACAGGACTGCATCTTGTGAAAAAAAAAAATAAAATTTTCCATGAAGAGACCTTGTGACCAGAGGACTATGGGCTACAGGGCGTGCCCACGCCTTGCGAGCCGACCAAAAAAAAAAAATAAATAAATAAAATTTTGGGCACTTGTACAGTGTGTACAGCAAATGGAAACTGCCTTGCTAGTGAAACTCCTCCGGTAAAGCACTGTGGTTATGGGTGGGTTTCGGACATTCTCTTGACACTTTACCCCTATCTATACCTTCTTAACCCGCGTTTCACCTGAGCCCCATTACAACCCTATTAAAGTCCCTTTGATTTATGTGTTTAGTTCACTTGCAAGTGGTGGAGATGTGATAAATGTGCAAGCCTATGGTAATGACATTCCATGATGTTGAATTGAGCGTTCCTAGTCTTCATATATATTCATTGAATTACAGCATGTCCGGTGTGTTCTGCCTTTGGTGATATTGTCAGGGACCCTAGATGCGTGCATTAGTATAGACTACTACGTGACCTTTGCTCTATTGACTGTACTTCTGAGCTCCGAAATGCTTGAGGACAAGCATTGTCTAGGTGTAGGGGGAATTGATAGAATGGTTATTTGACGTATTTTGCACTGCTATTTTGTCCTAATTTTGGTTATTCACGGTGCTAAAAATTGGAATTTCACTCATATTCGAGATTTGTGTGAATTGTAGGTGGTCGGCATGAAAATGATGTCGCAGGGTGAATTTCCAGAAGACTTTTCATTTTAGAGCGTGGCCACGCCTTAGAAGGCGGACGAAACCGAAAGACGGACCGTGGTCCACGTGAACCCGAAGCGTAGGATCAAAACTCCAAAGGAGATGGCCTCTATTAGCTGATTTGCTCCAGACGTCTCTTCCTTTTTCAATGCTGATGTGCGGCGGCTATATAAAGAAAAGGAAAGCAAGATTCAAACGACAACTTTTTTTAGCCTTAGGTTCTCTTTTTCTACTTTTTGGGGGAGGACTTGTCAGACGCTTTTTAGTTTTTCCTTTTGTCTTCTGCGGCTCGGGGTCAGACATTGGGGATTTTCTCCGTTGCTGTAGCTTTTGCTTTTGGCTTCTGTACAATTTTTCCTATTCGACTTTTGCTTCTACTTTCGCTCCAGGGGTACGAACACGAAACCCAACAAAGGGAAGCGAAGCTTTTTCAGCAGTTCCTACGTTAATTCATCTTTTTCAATTCTTCGGCAATTAATTGAATGAATTCAATTAAGTCACGCGGGATTGACACGATGAGGAGCGGCTAATTTTCTCCTCTACCCAAAGGTTGACGCGAAGGCGCGGTCCATAATATCTGTGAGATCTAACCGAATCTTCATTATTTCCTCCAATTAATTGCTATTCGTGCGTTTCCTGAATTAATTGTTCATGGGTATTTGATTAATTGAATATCAACGGCCGGGTATTTGATTTAATTTAATAGCCTACTGCCACGTTAATTAAATAGAATCCGTAATTGTTCATTTAGTTAACACCCCGTGGCAACCACCATAATTGGTTTTATGATGGGGAAACGCAAGATCTAATTTAAATAAACCCTCTTAGCGTGTTTATTGGTTAGGGTTGGGTTCTTCTGGCTTTAATGCAATTGGGTAATTAAATTCCTACGGTCGTACCTAGGGTTGTTATCTGGTTAGAGAAGCAGTCAATGGTCGTACCTTGACTGTCAAAAAAGTAAGGAAGAGCTGGTTGTCAGAGCTTATTGATGGCTATAACCAACCTAGTGATAAATGGGTGAAATATCTTTGCATCGATGAGCATTTAATTGGACCGTGTCTGAGCAGTTGATCCTTTGGGTAGAACTTTTGTTAATTGCTATTTTCAGTGAATTGTACTTTGTGAGTTAGTTTTGAATTTTGTTTGTTTTATTTTATTTTATTTGTGTGCCTCCCATTGAAAATCCCCCAATTCTGTTCTACTGATTTGGAAAGAAATAATTTCCTACCTGCTCCCTGTGGATTCGACCCTACTCACCGCTATATATAAAAATCTGTATTTTTCTCGAGTAGGTATTTATTATTGCACAGGTTCGGCACCTGTCATGGATCTAGATCTGCACAAATTCACTACAACATAAAACAATTCATTTAATTTGGCTTTGTCCACGTATGGTAAAAGAATTAGCAAGGATCCTACCTTCTAAATAGTTGATACCCAAGTATAGCTCCTCAAGCTTCTTCAGTTCTCCAATTTCTTTTGGTACGGCACCTCCAAATTCATTGAGAGACAAAGACAGCACCTGAAGTTCTGAACACTGGGCTAAAGCACTTGATGGTAATTGACCATTTAACTTGTTCATTGATAGGTCAAGGATACTCAGTCCAGGAAGACGGTAACACATGTCACTTGGAAGAACTCCGGATAGGCCATTATCCATAAGGTGAATGATTTGCAGCGAGGAAATATTGAAAATCCCCGTGGGAATGTTTCCTTGCAGAGGGTTGAACGAAAGATATATAGTCTCTAGCTTTGACAAGTTAGAGATGGAAGGTGGGATAAGACCAGTGAAACTATTGTTTCTAAGATTCAAGAGACGAAGTTGATGAAATGAACCAATCCACTGGGGGAACTCTCCTTCAAGATTGTTGACGCCCAAATTAAGTAGTTTTAATCGGCGCAAATGAGCAATTTCATGCGGCATCTCTCCGTGGAAATTGTTGTTTCTGATGTCAAGAGAAACAAGAAATGATAGATTTCCCAATTGTGGAGGTAACGTGCCGGAAAGATTCATGTTTGAAATATTTAAGCCGGTCACTCTGAGATGCCGAAAGCCGCAGGTCACTCCAATCCATTCACACACAGAAGATCTGACAGACCAGTTGTTTGCCAAGATTTGGTGAGGGTCAAATGAGATGTGAGATCTCAAGGCAAGAAGAGATGACTGATCAGTGGTAATATTGGTCGGAAGCATGGCTAAGAAAGCTGAAAGAAAACACAGCAACACAAATCCAAAAGGGGAGAGGTTGTGAAGTTTCTCCATGGCTAATGTTTGCTACCTGATAGGTGAGGAGTCGCATCATATATAGTCTCAGTAATATGGGTTTGGTAATTTTTTGACAGTGATGTAATTGTCATGCTGATTAGAATTTCTTTGACTGCTTTTCTAGGGAATTGTACAGTCAAGTTATGACTCTATGTCCATGTCACCATTTGCTTTATGTAAAGAGTAGAATTTAGTTTCATAAAAGCTATAATTCTTCCGAAGGTTTGAGATAAATTTTCTCTGAGTTTTTAATATACGAGCTGTATTACATAAGCTTAGTAAATATTTTACTTCTGCATTCATATAATATTGATTTCTCATGTCAAAGTCTAATAGTAAAGTTAGACCTTCTATTTTATGATTGATGTAATTTGAGGACCTTGAGTTGCCACAGCCCGAAAGAGAGGGAAGTGATCCATGGCTAATCTAAGGGGCTTCAAATGTACGAAGGAGAAAGCAAAAATAGGAAATTCATTATTTAATCCCTTAAATTTTTGTTTATTCTTTTACACCACCTTCGCATTAAAAACCTATTTCAAGACAAAACTGCACAGTTTGATGATGCGCATTCTTGGGAATAATGCAACTTAATTATTTGACCACATAATACATTATAAGTCTTGGTCATTATACAAGAGACAAAATTGATTGCCTCTCAACTGTTCTGAACAATGACTTTGTATTGATCAACGACTTTAGACAGAAAATCAACTCAATTGTGCAAGAAACGCTAGAAAATTAAGGATGGCTCAACCCCACGTTTGCAAGAATAATGCTGGAGAGGTTCAGAAATCAAGAAACAAGAAAATAAGCACTATCAATACTATCGAGCCACCGCTATGACTCGTTAATTTCCAATCAAAAGATGAGAGATGTTGATGTGTGCATGGACCTTAGCCCAAGTAATGACCCAGTCCGAGTTCCATTGGGCCCAGTCACACGTGCACGAGCCAAGCTCTTCAAAGAATCCCTCCAAGCCCTTGTTCGAATTGTCCAAAACCAACATGGAGTCCATAGAGATATTGAAGGCTTGAAGGATTTTAATTGAGTTATCTACACCATGACCCAAGCCCATGAAGAGTCAAGTGGGCCTCCAAATGAGTTGGCCGAATAGGGCCTTAGGCCTTAGTAGTTATTTAGCAATTGATTAGTGTTTAAGTAACAGCATGGGCCGGCCCATCTTGTCCCAAGACCATGGGCCGACTTTTCCCTTTCCTAGTCCCTTTAGGGTTTCAATCACTTTAGCCTATAAATAGGGCTTGCTTTGAAGGTTTTAGGGAGACGTTTTATCAATAAAGTTTGCATATTCGATTCTTGCTTGAGAAAGAGAGATTCGATCACCTTTACTTGCCTTTGGCAGGGTTTTGAGGGCAGTTTGCGTCCTGTCCTAGATTGTTCTAGCGACCTATTCCCTACTGGAGTCTTCACCTTCATCGGAGTGTCGTCTACCGTCTTGAATCAATCGTGTCGTCCGTTTGTGTTCTAGATCTGCATTCCCAAAGCTTGGACGTCCTCGGCTAGATGCCTATGGGGCAAAACGTGCTACGTGTCTCGAAACGTGTTGATCGAGGAACGTATCAGTTGGTATCAGAGCTTGGTGGAGGTATCTTCCGTTATATCCGTAGTTTTGTCTTAGTTTTCCTTGTTTCCGCTGCCTTGTTTAAAAAAAAAAACGTCACTGTTCATCCGACACTGTTCACAGCTACTGTTCGTCCGACACTGTTCACAGCTACTGTTCATCCGACACTGTTCACAGTTACTGTTCGTCCGATACTGTTCACGTTACTGTTCATCCGAACACAAAAATCTGTTGGTGTGTTATTTCCTTTGTGTTGTGTCTAGTTTGTTGATAATTTCTGTCCACAACTTGTTTCTTGCGTTTGAGTCGTTTGTTGCATCAAAATTTCTGGTTGTTGTTGTTTCAACGTTGCTCCCAAATCTGTCTCGTTAGTTGGTTGTCGCTTGGGCAGCAAGAACAATAACGTGACGGCTGCTAGGGTTTCCTTATCTTGCTAGGGTTATCCTTGCGGCTAGGGTTTTCTACTTGCGGCTAGGATGTCTACTTGCGGCTAGGGTTTCTTTGTACTCACTTGGACACTCTCTCTCCTACCTTTTTAGGAAACTTTCCTCCTAAAACTCTCTCATCCATTTTTTAGGAAACTGGAAACTTTCTTAAAGTCTCTCATCTATTTTTAGGAAACTTTCCTAAATTCTCTCATCCATTTTTAGGAAATTTTCCTAAACTCTCTCATCCATTTTTTTTGGAAACTTTCCTAAATTCTCTCATCCATTTTTTAGGAAACTCACCTAAAATTCTCTCATCCATTTTTAGGACTTTTCCTATATTCTCTCATCCACTTTAGGAAACTCTCCTATATTCTCTCATCCACTTTAGGAAACTCTCCTATATTCTCTTCCTAGATTTTAGGAACACTCACCTACACTTTCTCCTATATTTTCTCCTAGTTTTTTAGGAACACTTCCCTACTACACTTTCTCCTACATCTCCGTGATTACTCTTGAGGAAGAAGTTGGTGACATTTATTGGACTTGAGCGGCCTTTCTCAACTACCTAACCCAACAGGTAAAGGTATTTGGTAAGTCCATTAGAGTGAGTAATTGTGAGTGATACACGAGTGTCGAGAGAAAACACGTAAGGGAGCGTGAAAAACAATATCTTCGATTTTGTTACTAACTTTTGCAGGTTCCCTCATACATTCATGGCGAGTACAAGACGCATAAAAGTTAGCTCACCACATTGGCTTCCTGATCCTAAGGGAGTCAAAGAAGTGGCATTACGTGGTGTAGATGAGCAATTGGACATCGTCAAATCTCAGTTGCTTGGTTGGTTTTATACTCGTTGTGGTGTCAAAGATAAAATCTGTAGCTTGGCCATTGATGGGAGTTGTGAAGTCAACCTTGCAAGTGCTATCATGGTTGAGAAATTAAATCTTCCAACCATTGATCATCTTCAACCATACAAGTTGACGAGCACTCATTGTAATGTTTGGGTTACTAAGTACACACTTGTACCTATTCAAATCGGCAAATATGTGGATGAGGTGTTGTGTGATGTAGTCCCAATTCAAGTGACACATGTGTTGTTGGGCAAAGCATGGATGTCGAGGCGAGAAATTAAATATGACGGACATACTAATAAGTATTCCTTCTTATTTAATAGTCGTCGTCTTGCACTTGTATCACTTACTTATGACCAACTTTGTATTGATCTAGCATGCATGAAAAGTGAGCTTGAACGTTATAGAATGGAGAAAAAGCTAGATGAGAGAATTGTGCCTGAAGCGGTAAAACCCAAGGGAGTTGAAAGCAATGAGATGAAAGGGTCAGCCGATGAACTGGAAGAAGAGATGGAAAAATTTGATGAGACAGGTGGTCAAAAGGAAGAAAAGAGAGAAAGTGGGCTGATCTTGAGCAGCCCGGTGAAGGCCTATTATTTTCCTAACGAACTTACCTTTGCTTTGTTTAGTGTCTCTTCTTTTATACAGATCAAGCAAAGGCAAGTTGAGCTGATCTTGGTGTGTTCCATTCCAAAATCAATTGTAGACTTTGCAAGCCTCCATGGAGTTAGAACTTCAACAGTTAAACCCCGTTGGTATCCATTCATGGAACCATGTCAACCCAAATCAGTCCACACCAAAGGGGAGTTGATTCGAGCTCGTCTTGAAAGGAACACTCCACATTTTGGGGATCGTTGTGTACCAAGGGTTCGTTTAAAGAACAAGTACCTCAATGACCATTATGATTTTCGTCTTGCTCTTAGTCCACATGAAGCTCCAACATCACCAAATCCGCCTTGGTGCCTTGCAAGTGTGTTCGAGCCGGAGTTCGATTTCATGGGATACACTTCATACCACTTTGAGGACCCTTACCTCATGACCACAAACGATCAAGTTGAGCATACATTGAAGATGGTTTGTGAGATTCAAGGCTCGACAAGGTTTATGCTCCAACTTAGCCCATGGGCTTTGCATTGGATGCCATCTGTAGCCATCATAACAAGATTGAGTCGAAGGCATGTAACTCGTCTTGTCACCATTCGTGCTTCAATTTGTGGGCAAATTGCTTTCAAGAGGGGGGGAATGATACGAACAAGAGGAGCCACTGGAGCCATGATACCAACCCTTGTTCGTGTCATTCATTTCCATCCAGATTTGAGGACAAATCCTGCTCAAGTGGAGGGGACTGATGTGTGCATGGACCTTAGCCCAAGTAATGACCCAGTCCGAGTTCCATTGGGCCCAGTCACACGTGCACGAGCCAAGTTCTTCAAAGAATCCCTCCAAGCCCTTGTTCGAATTGTCCAAAACCAACATGGAGTCCATAGAGATATTGAAGGCTTGAAGGATTTTAATTGAGTTATCTACACCATGACCCAAGCCCATGAAGAGTCAAGTGGGCCTCCAAATGAGTTGGCCGAATAGGGCCTTAGGCCTTAGTAGTTATTTAGCAATTGATTAGTGTTTAAGTAACAGCATGGGCCGGCCCATCTTGTCCCAAGACCATGGGCCGACTTTTCCCTTTCCTAGTCCCTTTAGGGTTTCAATCACTTTAGCCTATAAATAGGCTTGCTTTGTAAGGTTTTAGGGAGACGTTTTATCAATAAAGTTTTGCATATTTTCTTAGTAGTTATTTAGCAATTGATTAGTGTTTAAGTAACAGCATGGGCCGGCCCATCTTGTCCCAAGACCATGGGCCGACTTTTCCCTTTCCTAGTCCCTTTAGGGTTTCAATCACTTTAGCCTATAAATAGGCTTGCTTTGTAAGGTTTTAGGGAGACGTTTTATCAATAAAGTTTTGCATATTTTCGATTCTTCTTGAGAGAGAGATTCGACCCCTTTACTTGCTTTGGCAAGGGTTTTGAGCAGTCTTGCGTCCTGTCCTAGATTGTTCTACCGACCTATTCCCCTGGAGTATTCACCTTCATCGGAGTGTCGTCTACCGTCTTGAATCAAATCGTGTCGTCCGTTTGGTTCTAG